GGATTTTTGGGGATTTTGCAGAATCGATTTAGGGTTCCATTGAAGGAAGAGGATTGAGTTCCAAATTGTTTTGGGGTTGGGATTGTTGGAAAGGGGAATGATTGGAAGTAGATAGAGATGTAAATATTGGGTCCTTTTTGTTAGGTGTGTTGTGTTATAATTGAAGTGGACATTCCTGAATTGTTAAGTACTTCTATTTTGGGAACTCAAAAGAATAAGTTTGATGTTGGATAAGTTTGATAGAAAATTTGGAGATTTTTGTTATTCAAAAGTAACTAGGAATTTTAATGAGATATCACTCTGCATTATTTTTTGATGAATTAAATAAACCTGGATACTTGAATAGTTGAATTCTAAGAGATTAATTATATACCAAATTAATTTATATATAATATATATGTTTTTATACAAATATTTATTATTTAATAATATTAAATAATGTGTATTCTTAATTTAATTTTTTTTATTCAAATTGAATTGATTGATTTGGTGTAATCATCCAATATGAATAAGAGAAGGGAAAAAATGTGAAAGACCTTATAATAGAGTAGCTCATGTCTGTCAAACACTTTGTTAAATATAGAGGAAAAGAACTATCAATTCAATTTTACTTTGAACGAGAGGCGTTAGTTATTCCCATCTGTTTTTTGAGTCACAGTAAAGTAAAATGGATCGGACAACCATTGTAGTTTTTGAGAGTGAACAAAGGGGAAATTTATTTTGGACTACATTCATTAACTATTCTTTTCTTTTAATTAAAAAAAATAAATTGGAATCCTATATGAATCCGTTCCAAATCCAATAACGACAAAGTTAAAATTCCATTTGCAGAAACTTCTTTTTCCTTCCAAAACTTATTAAATTCTTTATGTTACTTTATTCCTGTAAATTCCATGAACTTTAGACCTATCTACGTCATAGAATTTCAATGATAACATCACTCTAGAGAAAATATAATAATCTTCTTTCATCAATATACTATCACTTATTATACGATTGGAAAACAACCTCCAATTGGATGCATTCTTACTTTCCCTAATTTCAAGAAGACTTCAAATTTAAAATGTTAAGCACGTCGTTGACTTTCTCTTTAGTAATTCTCAAGGTTAGTGCACGCTCCTGTCTGTTTACTTGCACCCTCATCTTCATTATTAAATTATTCGGTTAATTAATAACAAATGCGATAACCGGATGGGCAAGTAGTGGACAAAAGTTGACATATTTGTGTGTGTGGAGGGGGAATACAGAAAGAATTTTGTATAATCTATACTATATTAAAAGCACGAAGGCCCTAAGCGAAATGTCGTTCGCCTTTTTTACCCTTTTAAAATAGAGTTTATTATGAGCAAAATAGTCATTTGATTATTTTTCTAATATTTGGCAATAATTATTTTAATTGATTTCCTACTATGTAGGAGTAGTTACCTTTTAGGTTTAGTTTTTTTTTTTCCGTCTTTTGTTTGTTAATGAACTAGGAAGTTTTGTATATTTCTGAGTGTTAAATATCTCCTTTTAGGTTTAGGAGGGTAACGATATTAAATTCTTGCAATTCACACTAGGTTTCGTTTGTTTTCTAATTTCATTCATATTTAGATTTCTCCTTTTAGGTTTAGGAAGGATTTTTATTTAATAAAATAAGTTTTTTTTTGTTAATAAACTTTGGATAAATTAATTCTTTATAAATATATGTTAGGTAAAACACGTGCATTTTGAACTCAGTTTAGGAGTTTTTATTTTTTAATAATTCTTTTGTGATTTGGAACTGCACTTAATTTGACTTTTATATAATTATTTTTTAATAATTTTTTTGTGATTTGGAACTACACATAATTTGACTTTTATATAATTATTTTTCTGTTTAGAATTGTACACACGAGTACGAAAAGAAGTACAATTCCAATTGTCATCATCAAAACTTTGTTGTTCAGTAGCAGTTACAAAATTAAGGGTTTTTATGTTCTTTTTCTTTGACTTTGAGCAAAAAGTTTTTGTAGTTGAATTTTACATTCACATATTTATATTAGTGGTTATATTTTACAGTCACGCATTTGTATTAATAGTTTGTATTCACGTATTAGCAACATGAAAAAAAATCTATTTTTTATAAAATTAAAATAAAACCAAAATGCGACGAGTAGTGGGATCCTGATCAGCTAAGCCTTGGCTAAACCTTGGATATCCAAGTGGATTACCTCTGGGAGTTAAGTCGAAGATCACAATGGTCTTGTGAGTAGTTTTCTTTCATAATGTTTTCTTATGGCCTCACCTCTGAAACTCGAGAAAGCTGCCTACCTTTCTTTCAATGCTTTAAGATAGAAGTACGTCGAGTGTAGGGCTTTCACAATCTCCGTCCAGACGGATTTGATTGCTTATTTTATTCCTTCTCTGTTCCTGGAAATATATCAAAATCAAGGATGTTAAAAAGACAGAGTCAACCGATAGATCAAAGAGTTATTTTTTCTAAAGCGGCATTCTCTCTTCTTTGTATCTTTAATTGAATTATGAACTTCAGGTGTTTAAATAGTTCAAGCAGAAATAATAGCTGAACCAGCATAATAAAAAAGCTAGCAAAAAGGCAGGCTCATAGTCAGATTCGGCCAAATAAAGCAGTGTTCTTGCATCTTTGAAATCGACTAAGCGTTGCACGATTAGTGTTGGGTTTTTGTTGTATTTAATTAATATATTAAATACTTAAAAAGAGGGTGAATGGGAAATGGAGGAAAATGAAATTTTGAGTAAAATTTTAAGTTTCCCCCTTGGCAAATGGACATTGTCCCATATTTGAAGAGGAAGAGATTTTTTATGGGTATATAAGCAATTGCTCTTCCTCTAGCTCTTAAAGAGTTGAGAAGAAGGCAAGCCTCGCGCCTTCGCCGTCGTCGTCGCTCGCTCGGCTACAGCTACGGCTACGGCTTCGGCTTCGGCTTCGGATTCGGATCCAGTCAAATGATCGATTGATTGATTAACAGAAATGTTATTAAATATTTATTTTAATAACAGAATATTAATCCGTTTTTCTGTTTTGGTAACAGAAAAGTAACTACCCTCTTCAATTTTCCCTCTTTATTTTTCCTCTTTATTGTTGAGTAAATGGCCATTTATGTAATGGCATTTATGCTGTGGCCGTTTCGGCTTCGGCTTCGGCTTTGGATTCGGATTCGGTCAAATGATCGATTGATTGATTAACAGAAATGTTATTAAATATTTGTTTTAATAACATAATATTAATCCGTTTTTCTGTTTTGGTAACAGAAAAGTAACTACCCTCTTCAATTTTCCCTCTTTATTTTCCCTCTTTATTGTTGAGTAAATGGCCATTTATGTAATGGCATTTATGTTGTGGCCGTTTTGCATAAACAGCCATTCTGAAGAGTTGCATCTCTTCAGATTTCAGCACACCAGTGTGTAATTCGTTCTATCCTGGGAGGAAATAATCCATAACCTTGGGTACTAGGAGGGGATTAAATTCCTATAGGAAACACTGTGAATTCAGTGTGCTCGAATTGGTTTTATGTCATTTCTGTTTATGTTCATTTCTGTTTATATTCATTTATATTTTCAGAATAATTTTACAAATACAGTCTACTAACAATTAGTAGTTGAATTTTGCATTAATGTTTAACCAATACATCTTTATTTTGGTGTTTTTGATCGTGAATCTTGGTTGAACTTGACAGTCTCCATATTGAATCAGACTTTGTGCTTCAACCTTTTGTCAAGCTATTTCTTCTACTATATTCCCATGATCCCATATAATAAACTACAATATAACTAAAATATTTGACGCGGTACACACGTGCAACGCACGTACACTAAAGCTAGTCTATCTGAATAGTGTAAGGTGAACAAAAACAAATAAACTTGCATTAGCAGTGTAATACAATCAATGATCACGCCCAACTATGCCTTATAAAAAGGACTCTGCGGACGTTGCAAATATAACCCGAGTATTACGCCCAGGGTCGAATCCACAGAGAGTTAACCTATCAACCACTATCTTTAGACCAACTAATTCTTCAGAACCAGCTTCCCAAATATTCAAATCTCAGTTGAGTGTTCTTTAACAACTAGCTTGCAAGTAACTAAATAGCTGTAAACTAAACTTATAAGGTTGTAAACAATTATGAGGAAAAGCTAAGGCAATGATTTCCCCTATTGATGGAATCCCTTCTGTTTATGCTCATACAAATTTACCCACACATCTCTATCAATCATGAACGCTAATCTTACCGCAAATCTCTCCCGAGTAATCACAGTAATTTACTATTGTACTCTCCCGAGATACACTAGCTTACTTTATTTAGCACGATTCACTTTAGATTACACCCAAGGCTTCGTTATCCCTAATCCCGCCTTTAAACCCGCAATTATAGATTTCTCTAATAATCTAGGAGTGGTGTTGTTCAACAATAACCTAAATATGCACTCTTTTCCAAGTTATGCACACTAAATAGGCACAGCTAATTGAGGATCCTGTCAATTAACTACAACGAACACGAAGTTGAACAAATAGAGCTTAAACTAGCAATTTGTATTCACATAAACAAGAAGTTCATCACCCAATAGGTTCCATCAAAACCTTAGACGAGGAATTTAGCTACTCATGGCTATGGGAAAATAAACTAAGATTGAATTCATCATAAAAATCAAAAGAAAAGAAGAAAGAAGTTTAGAGTACTCTCTCACAATGGTTTTCCTTGCTAAGAAGCCTAAAAAATCAATACATGCCTCTCTGGGGCGAAGTCTAATGTTTTAAATAGGGTTTAGGTCTAAAAATCCCGTAATTGACACTTTGGTCCCTGAAGTTTCTGCGCCTGCCGCGGTCGCGGTAGAACCGCGGCCAAACACCCTCGCGGAATCCTTGAAGTTCTGCAGCTGCTTTCCACCGCGGTTCTGCCGCGGTCGCGGTGGAACCGCGGTGGACCCAGTGCTCTGAATCTTCGGCCTGTTTTGCATGGTTCACTTGGGAAATTTCACAGTTGGCCTCTTTTTCATCAATTTTGACTCCAAAACTGCTCCTTAGCCTTCCTTATACATATATCACCTGCAAATCATGAAAAGCATTAATAAGAGCATTTTGTTATCACTTTTAACATTAAAACTACACAAGAAGGTGATTATTTAAGGTGTGATTATAGTCAAATTCACCTATTATCAATCAACAACTACGTCTCAATCTCAAATAAATTTGGGTCGGCAGTAGCAGTATAATAGACTCAAAAATTTTAATCCTTAATCTGCTATCATGTTTTAATATAGTCGAACCATTGCATCCTTGAAGGATCTTAAAGCTACTTCAAATCCCAAAGATGAAGCAATTTGAGTAGCATGGAAGAAACAAGGCACTGTCTTCTACTGCAAGGGGTTGCCTAAAAGGATTTAATTGGATCTGCAAAGCAAGAAACAAGTTCAATATAACGAAATGACTTAGAAGCAATGTACACCTTTAAGAACAAAATTTGGAAAAAATTTGGTGGAGAGGCGGGTTGAAAAAACTAACAGGAACGATAGGAGAAGCGTTAGTCACTGAGCTTGTGCAACTAATTGCTAGATTACAAGCTTCTTCACAGTAATCAGAGAAAAATGCAGGAACTTTGATCTCCTTGATAAGCTCCTGGATGAAAAGTTAAAGGACAAACAAAAAAGAAATACATTCAGAAACACCAGACCTGGCTAGCTTTATGCACTGTTGCAAAATCATAAAGGTAAAAGCTGACATATTAATCTCATGTCGATCCTGATATACACAACTAAGCACCAGATGGACAAGCTGAAATGAAGCATTGAATTCCAATGACTTACAATGGTTGGTAACCAGCTTCTGTAAGCAGCGACACCAGCATTTGGTGCGATAATTAGATTAGGAGGAGAACCCTGTCAAAGCTTACAACATTAGAGTAAAACCCAACCAAAGAAGGAAATGTAAGAGCAAAGGCAAATGCTGTTTGAACGACCTTGTTGAGATTTTTATAACAATCATGATAATAACCAGCATGAAGCTTTAATTTAATGGCTGAAGTTCCGCTTGACAATGATGTTGGGCCAAAACTCTCAGTCGAACATTTACCTTTGCAGTTGGTCTCTGTACAATGAGCATAATCACGAAGTTCAATTCTCTCGCCATTCCTAATCATTAAAAAGCAAAAAAGCGTGATCTATTAAAGGTACCTAGAGCAGTGTGACTATAAATAATCTGCAAAAGATAAACAAGATACCTATGAACTTTGGAAAATACAATAAAAGAAAGTTAGAAGTTAGTGTGAATGTGAAGTATCATATAGTCTAACAGATAGAACATTATCAGGTTACCAAGGTTTCAAATGATGGATCATGTCTAGTAAACTGGCAAGGACCCCACTCTAACCACTTTTCTGTTAGCATCATCTGCAATCATTAGATGTGTAGCAGTCATATATTCACTGAAGATGACTGTGGCTTATAGAGCCCAACCAAGGGCGCTATATCAAATATCTATTGCCTCCCAAGTACATCTTTCTTTTGTAACCTATTTTTTAAAGTTCTTTTTAAACTTCTTTATTCCAGAAGCCATCAATTTACGACCCCCTTTTTTCCCAAATTTAAGAGTCTTCCATGAATTAACAATGCAAATTATTTCCTTTCAGCAGAATGAGAACCAAGTGTCTTTAGTTCGCTAAAGTTCCGTCCACGAAAAGATTATAAGTGCAGTACTAGTTACTGGACTTCACAATGAGATTACTCTCGTTTCCTGCTGTAAGTCGTATAGCAATAACTTTGCAAATTAATTAGAACTTGCAGTAAAAAAGAAGTAAACCAGAAACATGAAATAAAGGAGGGCAACCAAACCTTTCTTCTGGAATTGCAGGTCCCACAAGATCTATATACATTCGAACACCAGGAAAAACTGCATACAGTTCACTGAAAGCAGCAAGCTGATGAAGCTCTTTTTCAGGACCTTCACATTTCAAACAAGAGAAAGAGCTCAAATTTCGTATGAAAATAATGAGCCCTTGAAAAACTAGCTCCAAAGGTGATGAAGAGTGAGCAGTGGTGTTAGCGCTAAATGTCATTTGTCAATTTTTACGGTCAGAGAGAGAGAGAGAGAGAGCCTTGTCTATGAAACCCCGTACCAGAGCTCAGAAGAAAAGAGAGTACCTAAATAATGTATGCGTAGCTCATTACTTATTTCAGGAATCAGGTTCCCTTGAACTGCCAGCTTAATGGCCCAATACAGCGTCAATGGCTGGAAAAAGCAAGAGAAGGATAGCACTACAAATGAGCCAGTGAGTTTCACAAATGATTTCTCCAAAGATAGACATTTTTAATAGCTTCACAAACAATTCATACATCTTGGTCATATTGTCAAAGATCATATAAAAACAAAATATCCATATATGGAATGACTATATGGAAGAAACTACAATATAAAACGGCAAAAGAAGCATATTGCCTAAGTAATACGGCCACTACAAACCCATTCATTTAATATTTGTATACAGCCAACTTACCCAGTGAAGTAGTACGGCAACAGGAGAATATAGCGGAATGCACCTCCATTCATAATATTCCTTCCAACCACTAAGTAGCTCTGGTAATACAGTGGATGGCTCTGCATGTGAATACTATTATAAATTTGCATCCATGACAAGCATTGCATTCATGTAATGGTCGCTTAAAAAACTGCAAGTACCTCTACAAGGACACATTTTACTAGATAAGTTCCAGCCTTCAATGAGCCTAGAAACAAAAATTAAGGATAAGATTCCACGTGTGACTTAGGTTATAAATATTTCTTTATATCCGCATAGCAGCAGAGATCAAATAAAACGTTTTAATTCGAGAAAGACATGAATAATGCAAAGAATAAGTTCAAAATATAATACACAGAAAACTTTATCTATGACAAGTACAAAGCTTGATTATAGACAAATACTACTATATACAAAAGAACATAGGTAGTAGGGATACAAATATGGAGTTACTTAAGTTCACACAAAGAGGATACATAACCATCCTCTTAGGCACTGTAAATATAAAGGTTGTTATTAGTTAGGCTCAATGGCGGAGCTAGAAGCCGACCTACGGGTTCGACCGAACCAGTAGCTTTAGCCCAAACTCTGTATTTGTATTAAGAAATTCACCAAATATGTACAAAGATCGCTATCCTAGAATTTAGAACCCATAAAGTTCAAATCCTAACTCAGTCTCCGGTTAGGCTTAGGCTGAAAGAAGATAGGATCAACAAGATTACATTTTTTCATGAAAATAGAAACCAACCTTGAGCAGTTCAATGTTATAGACGCCCCACAGCTACATTCAGACATCCACATTCCTACACGGTGAATTCCCAGTTTTATCAAGAATGAACACCTTGTCATGCGTTTATCACATACCTATAATTAAAGCACCACGAGTATTTACCTAAGATACTTCCATGAATAAATAGTAAATATATTAAATCAATTTTTTATTCACATGTTACCTGAACAGTAGCTTCTTCAGAAAATGTAAAAGGGAAATCACTCACAACATGAGCTTGCTTCATTTGCTGTTCTAACCTTTGACACTCTTTCTTGTGTACATTCAAGTGTGCAACCTAAAAAGAGAATTAATAAAATTATCTCTTTGTTTCCAGAAAGGAATTGTACTACTATTATTTGGAGAGTTAATTACTCAATTGGATATGAAACCTGGTGAGAGATGGAGCAATAAGCGACAACTTGACAGCGACCGCAACGTCTTGTAGCCGGACCGGAACATGGGGTTCGGCTTCCGCTGCCGGCGCAGTCCATGGTTTCCGACCAAATGCGACCGATGGGTTGATCGGCAGTTGGAAACGAAGCCCACTTATATCTAAATGACAAAAAGAAATAGGCCCAATGGACCTGGGTATCCATCCTCAATTAGCCCAAATAGGCCCAATAGGTACGAAGTGTTTGTCAAACACAATTAGACCCCGGAAGAAATTCAAAAATAACCATATTTACAAGTGGTCATTCAAAAATAGCCACAGTTTCAAAAGTCATTGAAATTTATTCACTTTTCATGTAAAGATAAATATGAACGAAAACACTCTTCAAAATTCGGAAAATACTCCAGCAAAGTATACTGGAACTCCAAATTCCAATATATTATACTGGAACTCCAATATACTATATTAGAACCAGTAAAGTATATCGGTCCAGCATAATATGCTGGAAGTTCATGCACAGGTGCACCAAACTCTAGTATAATACGCTGGACCGGTCTATGTTGCAGCAAAATAGTGGCTATTTTTCAATGACTTGGCAAATGCTGGCTATTTTTGAATGGCCAGTCCGAAAACTGGCTAGCCGTGCTATTTTAACTTTGACCCTTTAAATTGAGCGAATGACACAAATAGCATACTTTTGTACCACTATTGATTTTTTGATTCCGACAATAGATGATTTGTGAATATAGCCCACTGCCAGAATTTTAAGGTACACTCCTGAAGATCGTCAGAATTTCTGGTCAAATCAGTGTGATCACTGTAACACTCAAATCCTGGTGGATGGTGATTTTCTGGTGCTTCGTGGCCAAAATATAAATGATGGTTTTAAAAAAGATCCAGCCAGCATAATTTTTCCTTCAAATTTCGTGAACTATCGGTTTATTCCTTTTGGTATTAATTGTTTAGCAAATGACCTTTTTTTTATTTCTCTTGTAATTAAAGGACCTTTTAAACTACGGTCTAAAGATTTTTTTAGCAAACTAAAAATCATATAAGAAAATATTAGACCATAATCTAATATTTTTGTAAGTTATTATAAATGTTAGAACATAATTTAATATCTCGTGAACAAACTGAGAATTATATGAACAAACTTTAAACCTAAGACCATCTCCAACCCTAACACCAAATTGCACATCAAAATGGTGTAACACTAAATTTACTCCGACCATTACACCATTTTTTACTCCAAAAAATAATATTTCTTCTCTCTCTTCTATATTATATTATTATCTTCTATTTAAATTTCATTTTTTATTTCCTTCAAACAAATTCTATCTTTTTTCTTTTTCCATATTCATTATATATAATTAACATTCACCACTTATATAATCATTTATTACAAAATTATGTTAAAGGATAAATCAACTAAAAGTGAAATCATTGATAAAAGATAATTAAATAAATATTACATCATAGTCAAATTTAATTAGATATCTTACATTTGCATTTTTTATTTTTAAATAATGGTTATATTTCTTTTATACAATTATAATAATAATAAAATTAACTTATAATTTTATATAAATATAATATATACAAAAATTAATATATCAAAAAAATAGGATATAAAACTAAAATTACAAAGATCTTAATATAAAAATTAATTATATACACAATATATGATAAATTAAAAGTCCAAAAAATAAAAAGATGAATAAAATAATAATAAATCAAATTTGGTGTGATGAATAGTGTTGTACCAAATTTGGTGCAATAATATTCATGCACTATAATGGTGCAAGATTTGGTATTCCATTGGAGCAAAAAAATACCAAATTTTACACCAAATTTGGATTTGGTGCAAAATTTGGTGCAGCCTTGGAGATGGCCTAAGTCTGAATTATCCGAAAGGATAATTTCCAGGAGATATCTTTGTACAGTTTTTTAAAATTTAAACAAAATCTAAACACCTTCTAAAAAGGGGACATTTGCCTCAAATTTCTTTACAAAAGATATATCTTAATCTTTTACAGTTTAATTTAAGCTGATACGCGGAGATTCATTCAATTTAAGTATTTAACGCTATATTAGAGTACCTACGAGATCTAAGATTTAAATTTTATTCTCATCCATTCAAATTCTGGTGGAATTTTGGAAGGATGCAGGCCGGGCAGTCTTAGAGTGGCTTACTAAATTATTTAATGTCATTTTTAGGACGCAGAAGATGCCGAATGAATGGAGATGGAGCTTGATGGTCCCGATGTACAAGAATAAAAGTGATGTCCAGAATTGCAATAACTATAGGGGTATCAAGTTGCTGAGTCACACTATGAAAGTTTGGGAGAGGGTGGTGGAGAGGAGGGTGAGGAGAAGTTTGTCTATTTCTGAGAACAAGTTCGGGTTCATTCCAGAGCGGTCGACTATAAAAGCCATTCATCTTGTGAGGAGACTGGTGGAGCAGTATAGGGAGAGGAAGAAAGACTTGCATATGGTATTCATTGACCTTGAAAAAGCCCACGACAAAGTCCTGAGGGAGGTTCTATGGAGATGTTTGGAGGTTAGTGGTATCCTAATAGTGTACACTAGGGTGATTAGAGATATGTACGATGGTCGGGTGAGGATTATGGGAGGAGACTCGGAACACTTTCCTGTGTTGATGGGGTTACATCAGAGATCAGATCGTAGCCCATTTTTGGCGATAAATGTGTTGACGCGACACATCCAAGGGGAGGTGTCATGGTGTATGTTATTTACAGATGATATAGTGCTGATTGACGAGACATGTTGCGGAGTTAACGCTAGGCTGGAGGTTTGGAGACAGAACCTAGAGTCTAAAGGTCTCAAGTTGAGCAGGACTGAAATAAAATACTTGGAGTGCAAGTTCAGTAAGGGGACGCATGAAACAGAAGTACACGTGAAGATTGATACACAAGTCATTCCAAAGAGAGATAGTTTCAAGTACCTTGGGTCTATTATCCAAGGCAACTGGGAGATTGATGAGGATGTTACATATAGCATTTGAGCGGGGTGGATGAAATAGAGGCTTGCATATGGTATTTTTTGTGATAAGAATGTGCCTCCAAGACTTAAGGGCAAGTACTACAGAGTAGTAGTTAGACCGACTATGTTACAAGGTGCTGAGTGTGCCAGTCAAAAAAATTTATGTCTAGAAGATGAGAGTAGCATAAATAAGGATGTTGAGATGGATATGTAGGTATACCAGGAAAGATAAAATTAGGTATGAAGTTATAAGGGACAAGGTGGGAGTGGCTCTTGTGGAAGACAAATTATGGGAATCGAGGCTGAGATTATTCGGGCATGAGATAAGGAGAGACATCGACACCCCGGTTAGGAGATGTGAGAGGTTGACCATGGCGGGTCTAAGGAAGGGTAGAGGTAGGCCAAAGAAGTAGTGAGAAGAGCTGATTAGGCAGGACATGGCATTGCTTCAGCTTACCGAGGACATGACCCTGGACAGGAAGGTGTGGGGTCGCGAATTAGGATTGAAGATTGATAGGTAGTCGGGAGTTTCTCCTAATCTTACCAATAGAATTAGTATTATTCTTAAAGTTTCGTGTTCCTCGATCTTTGTTATTCCATGTTATGTCATTCTTCCCAGTATTGCTAGTAGTAATCTTGTATTTCTTTTCTTAGACCTTTGTTATTACACGTAGTGTCTTTATTTTTTCTCTTGTTATTGTTATTGTTGGTTGCTCCCTATTTAGCGTTGCTTAAGTCGAGGGTATATCAGAAACAACGTATCTACCTTCACAAGGTAGGGGTGAGGTCTTTGTATACACTACCATCCTAAACCCCACTTATGAGATTACACTGAATTTGTTGTTATTGTTGTATTAAAAACTTCAACCTATAAAACAATAAATTATCATATACAATATATTATTTATATTATATTATAAATGCTTTACTCCTTTCTATTCCTCTTTAGGAATGTATTAAAAATTACTCATAAATGAGGACTTTGATTAATTTACCTTCTACCTCTCTCTCTATGTATGAGGACTTTGATCATGCGTGTTGCAACTAGATAAATAAATATGTTTGTTCTATAAAAGCATAAAGTTTTAATGAATTAGTCACACAATTAAACAAAAAAGATTATTACATGCTAAAAAAAATTCTCTTCTTGGAATATTATAAGGTAAGAGTGAACTTCTAATGTAATTGGAATGTTGCACCAAATTGATATAGGATAAAGTTACAACTATGTTGTAACTTAATTCTTCACCCTGCAAGAGTTGGATACTAGGAAGAGTGGAATTTTTTCTTAACATAGATTGGGATGAATATTCAGAAACCGTGAAGCAAAAGATTGTTTGATCAAAAAGAATAAATCTTGGTTTAAATCATTAAATTTATGTAAATAAGGGTTAGTCTTAGCTAACAATAATATTCTTAGATGGGATTATTAAAGAAGCAATAACTATCATGTAGATCTGGTCGAACAGTGTCATATCGTATGATAAATGTTCTAGAATTCAGGAGCAATCATGTGGCATTATTCAACAATAATGAACAACAATAAATGGCATTTAAGTAAATATGATGAATGATTCACCCAATAAAGGAGGGAATACGTGCATCTTCCTCCTGACAATGAATGATAGTCAAATCCTTGAATATTCGAGTTATTCTCGGATCTGATGTTGCGATAAGAGTCTCAGTGAAAAGCTGATGTTTGTATCTTAGCAAGAGAGAGCTGAACCTTTAAGTTAAAGTCTGTTCTTTACAAATGAATGTCACATGCTCCTATCATTCTCTTTCTTTTCTATTTATATGGGACATATTCCTAAGACGCCCTAATAGTACAAGTGCAGAGAATATCCACTGGAATATTTTCTTTAATATCCTATCTTGAAAACTAGCCGTTACAGCTCTGTCAACGGTACTCGACCTCGACCTCGACCGTTGTTGACGCTTTGACTATGGCTCTCGTCGACTCTTCGACCACAGACTTTGCTGCTTCTTGGACCATCTTGACAAACGACGATTTGGGAGCTCTTTCTTTCGTATTATCTTGGCCTAAATATTCTAAAGACAGATTTTGGCCCATACAAAGTATTGGACCCTTTTTTTTTTTTTTTCCCTTCTGGTGATGAAACA